TAGATTATAACAAATTTATTGAGCAGCATGTGACCAAGTCACGATCAAGGACCTTTGTTTCATTGTTGCCCATGATAATCCACCTTAACCCCGTTGTGGTTATCTATATCACAGCCCCTCGTTTGTTGTCCTCTTCTCCCTCTCTGCCTCAGGTTTACCGGGAAGCTCTGTTTGACTATATATATAACAATGACTACATTCATTCATTCACTGCATTATAACAATCGCTATTTTGCAGCCTGTGACCAACTCACCATCGTGGCCCTTCGTTTGTTTGTTGCCCGATGGCTGATGGTTTTCCATGTCGTCCGCACACAATCTGGACCGTTGTGGAGCTGTACTGGATGGTCGGATTGTATGTGATCGTTTTGTCAAAGGCATTATGACTACTCCAAACCATTCGGTTAGACCTTATTCCAACGACGCCAGTATTCTCAGAAGGTTATCAGTGGTTGGACCTCAACAACTTGTGGTACTTTTCGTTCGGACTTTTCCACAGGGACTATTCCATTTTCCCATGCATCTGTAGCCCCATATCCATACCATCAACGGCGTGCATTCATTCAGGGACTTCAATTTTCTATTGGTCTCAAACGTCTACATCTCACAAGGCATCTACTCGGCATCAATGGCAGTCAACTCAATGGGATGTGACACTTACCCAGGCTGAAGTACGGAGTCGTCACTCCTTGCAGTCCCACTGCCTTGACCTATGACAGTATAAGTGCCAGGTGCTTGGTGTGTCACCACAGCTTGTGAAGTATCACGTGCCCTCCAGACCCCGTTCGCCCGCAGCTGGCATCGCATATGCGAACCTGTGCGCATTTAACACCCCGGTCAGATGACACTGCCGAGTCCTCCTCGCCTGGTTTTGGCCAGGGGCTGCCTCTCCTCGGCAGCCTACGGGTTGTTCGGCAGCAGTCCTACCTCGGTCTTCGTTACAATCAGTCTTCAGTGGTCAGCAAGGAGTCTCTGGTCAAGTTTGTCTGGTCATCATCTGTCCTTTCATCTGGTAAGTGTCTCCTCACCATGAGCCTAATGTCAGGTAACAGCAGCTAGCACACCTCTCCTGTATGTGATCTTTCTGTCGCAAGCTCTCCACGTTCTCCCCCCCCACCTCCTCCTCCTGCTATTTGTTCGCTGCCATACACTCCTTCCTTCTCCTATGTCGATGACTGGTAAGGCCCGCTCTATGACCCCCGTCATGGCTCCTACTTTTCACCAAACCTGATTCTCCGTTCTTCACAACCAGCCACTCGCGACAGAACTGTCCACCACTTCAGGTCCCTCATCACAGCTTCCTCCACATAGATCCTTCTGCCTCCAGTCCCTACTATCCCTGAAGCATTCATTAGTCAACATTCAAACACAGGTTCAAACATAGACAAGTAGTAAGCAAAGCAAACCACTCAAGACAGAGAAAAGACAAAGAACCGAGCGCAGGTATATTCGAAAGATAGTCATGAAGTACAGCGATGTCAGGCGAGAAGACCCAACACCGTTTTTCTGCCGGTCGCATGTCCGGCTTCCTCAGGGGTCATGCTACCGCTACCTCGCGCAGGATGGAATAGACTACGAAGACCTACCAAATATATACTATCCTAGAAGTACACACAACTTCAACGAAACCCGAAGGCCCTAGAGCGGACCACAAGAAACAATAGTTACTTACCAGAGTCACACCTACTCCTTGCTACAGAACCGGTCCAGGTACCGTCTACGAGTTACCGTAAATAACTCTAAATTCTTCAGAATCGTTAGCCCGTTCGAATCCACGGGAAAAACAAGTACTGCCCAAAAAAACAATAACCAATAGGTTGTCTGTTCGAACATCACCTAGGCCTATACTACGTCAAGAAAAGCAATACAACTCATCGATAGTGGGATCGAACCCAAAGTGCCCATCAGATGATGGCAGAAAACCAGTAACAGGTTTAGCACTTCCAACCAGTAAAACATGACACCCAGTTGTCCCAACAGTTATTCATTCGACTGGAGAAGTTTCGCAGACATTGATCAAAATACTCGTCCGGAAATCCTTTAGCCCGCAACTCCAATTTAAGTGTGAAAATAAAACATGCCTCAGCACCTGGCATCGTAGTCAGAGCTTTTGCCCTATGCAGACACGCCGTAATGACTGACAACTTTTGCTGCTTGTCTGAGTAAGAAGCGAAGTCCTGTAAGTTCTGAAAAATCACACCCTGGTCCATGATACATCTTTCATTTTTATGCGTTGCAGCACAGAGGATTTTACAAGGATCCTGAAAGACTTTAACGACACAGCCAAGAAAATCCCAGGCATCAAGCTCACTAGTCAGTTCGAGGGTGAGATTATTATCATAGCAATGTCTAAACATGTTAAGCCTTCTAAGTGCCAATATCCTACTATACTGGGATCCTGGTCGAAATTTCGAAAAAAACGATACGTCATCTACAAATCTCATCCCAAACAGTAACTTGCGTTCCCGACCTAAATGAGCTAAAAACTCGTGCTTATTAAACACACACAACAAACAAGCCAAACCCGGGCTAGATGGTTGACCCATAGGAATCCCGATGTTCTGTTTCAGTATTACATTCATCGCCATTACGCAAGTGTTCTCAAGGTCAAACCTCACCATACCCAATAGCACAGAGAACTTAATACGCTTAAAACCAACAGGAGCATCCTTCCTTCGTCCTAACATGGCTCCTTTCCCCCTCTTTTTAACAAAAACCTCTGAAAAGCCTTTTTCTTCAAAAACACAGACTAACCACTCCACCGCTTTAATAATCGATGCGTGAGGTAGTGCAGTAAACATTTCTTTTACATCAAAGCAGGACGTCAGCACCTTCTCATCCAGGGAAATCGATCGATTAAATGAGTCTAGTCGACCAAGCATATCATCAGGACATCTCAAGTTAAAATGCAGCTCCTCGGGTAACTTCCACAACAATTGGTTGATGGACTTCGAAACTATCCTACTGAGATGAACTAGCGGATTGGAATAGTAGGACGAGCAAATTGGTCGCCACTTACAAACATTCTTATGCTTGGGCAATCCATATGCCCGGCCCATTTTACGTTGACGATTAAAAACCACATGCCGCTGAAAACCAGATACCACCAAATTTTGTTGCATACTGCACATCACATTTTACTCTTCGGTCCTAACAACTTCAAACCCTACATTCTTAAGAAACAGAGTATCCATTCCCTGCTTATATACCGAGGGGCAACACACATATGTGTCCCCTAAATTATGATCAATGGGACAAACAACGAAACCCTCATCTTGACGTCACGTATACAACCCAGCCCATTGTCCATTGAAGCCTCCGACCCCTGGCGACGATTAAAGCATTCGCCCAATTCTTCATCAGAAATAGAAAAAATAGTCGTGTCATTCTGAAAGTTCCCCAGTCCATCAAGAATATACTGTCGCAGGTTTATTGCGCCGAAAACCAGGGAACAACACATTCTTACTGTTCTTAACAAACCCAGACACCCAATCAACCTCACTAAGCCTGAAGGATACGTGCCCATCCATTTTAGGTAAGTCCGATCGTTGACAATTACATACCAGAGTCTGCTGTCGAGCCGATAGTCTGAAGTTGTGTAGTATATTACCCACCGATTTATTTATACACCACACAATTCTCAGCTTCCTACACACAAGTATTTTCAGCGGATCTCGAATAGAAGACCGTCGTACCACAGAAAGGCACAGATCACGAACCCGTTTCTTAGATAAGGTGGCGTCAAACGGGATCCTAATTACAACTCTAATCCTAATCCTAAGCGATAACTTATTCCTAATCACGTGAGCTAAAATCGCTCTGGGTCTGGCCCGACTCTGCTTTCTTGAAAAACATCTAACGCGGTTATAGAAGAACACCAGCCTATCAAGCGGCTCGGAAAATAGTTTCCTGCAGGTAGGAGGACAGCTCAAAAGCTTAGCTAAAAAACTATTTTGTTTCTCGAACCGAGAGCAAAACTTCGAAATAGTTTCGAAAAACAGCACAACCCCAGAAACCAGAGACTTCCTACAATGTTTGAGGAGCTCGACTCTTTCTCCAATACGAACTACAGAGGACCCATAGTAATGTTTAAGAATTTTCCATTTTTCTGTTAGCAAATCGCCCCCAGCGCAGCTTATCGACATATTAGTAGTTCGTTGTTGAAAGCAGTGATCCAGAACGCATCGAAGACTGTAGGAAGTAAGTCCATCATCAGATCGAAACAGAACAAATGTACTCTGCACTTTATCGCCAGCGGGAACCACTACTCCCTCTGTTTTCCTCTTCCGTAATCTCTCATGTTTGCCTAGCCTCTTCTTCTTCCTCTCACGTCTTCTTCCCCCCACCAAAGCCGAATTCAGGAAAGGGTTGAATACTCGTATAAAATAAGACTCAATAGACAAAAGTTGACTGGTAGAGGTGACAGCAATAGGGACTGCGACATATCCACTTGTTCTCTCTCGCCTCAACCATCGATACAATCAATGGTTCCAAGTAGTGCTACCAGGTGCAGAGTTTAAACGACACAAATGCTCCTTCCATCTCAATCCCAAGGTTCGCGACGAACAACCTACGTACATATGCTTGCACCACGGTGAGATTAGCACATACACAAGAGGTCCCGGGCAGGTCACAAAATCATAACCACTACGGAATAAATACCACAGAAATGGAATCAACTTGATACACCAAGGAATTTGTCGAAGAAGCACTAAATAAATGACGGTCAAGCGAAAAACACTGTCGATCCTACCGTCTCGCTACAACACCGTACGGTCTCCTGCATCCCTACAGACTAAAGCTAGATTGCGTAAATCACCAACGCTCGGTGACAGACCCTAACACCCAACAGCAGCATCGTCATTTTCATCATCGTGGTCACTGCTACCGACCAGATCATTCGAGGATTTTGAATTTTCCGACCCATCGGTATCTCTGGTTACCTTACCGAATGCTCAATTGGTGTACACAACTACAATATCTGTCGCTGATGCCTTGATAGTCACATAGCTTATGGATTCCTCCGCACATAGTCTTTCAGTCTCCTTCAGCTTAGATAGATCTGCTTAGACACGTTGATCAAAACCTTCACGTGTTTCGTCTTTGAGTTTGACGAATTTCAGCCCTCTAGAACCCTTACTCCCACTGCCCCCAGCTTTTGTCGGGCTAACTATCTTACTCAATTTAAGGCGAAAATTGGATGGTGGAGAGATGCTATTCCGAGTGATCCTTTTCCTCTTGACACTGGTAGGAGTCCCCATAGAGGCACCTATCCTGCTGATTCTCTCCTTGAGTGCAACAACTTCCCTCTCCGCCATATCCTTCTCGTCTCTTAGTCTTCTGTATGCGTCAGACATCTTAACGTAATCACCAGCATTAGGAGTACTGATGGCCCTTCCCTTATCTGTCGCTGCCACCGGTATTGCCGTCGAAACAGATCTTCCCATCTTGGTGAGTTTCACCAGCTCGTTCACCTGCTCCTTCAGACCAATAACATCTTGAATCAGATGTTGATTGTCCAACCGGAGAGCATCCAACTCTTGTTCATGTTGCGTAGCCTGCGGTTGGCAGGACGATCTCTGCATATCCGCAACCATTCGTTTTAACTTCACGATCTCATCATCATTGGTGCGTAACACTTCCATTTCCGAGGCCTTCTTTGCTCCCGAATCATTGTCCATCGTATGCCTTCGAATTTTTGCAGTTGCGGAGAGAATCAGTTGCTCCCCTTGTCCTACTTTCCTACCCAGCACCTCTTCGCAGACCACTCGCATTTGTGTCTCGATTGTTTTCCCGATGCTGGCCTTAAAATCCTCCTTATCTTTCTGCTCAGCAATGCGTTTGTCTTCCTCTTCCTTGCGCTTCTTCTCTTCCTCCTCCTTCTTCTTGTTCTCCTCTTTCTCCCTTTTCAACTGCTGCCTCTCCTCAATTTCCTCCGCCATCCAGCTCCTTATCCTTTCCACTTTGCCATTCCTATCGTCAGAGTACCATGGCCGACGATAATTACCATAACACCCGAACCTCCGTAGGATCCACCATAGCCTCCTGTATATCCGCCTCCACCTCCTCCGGAAACTTGATCATTCGGGGCGTCGTTAGATGGAGCCTGATAAGGTACCATAGCCCTTTGGGCGGACGGACTTCCAGACGTCGAGGCTTGGTTTCCACCACCGAGTCTTGACCGCTGCTCCATATCTCTCATCCGAGTCCGACAGTCACGTACGAAATGGCCAGGTCATTGACAATAATGGCAAACAGGTATTTTCATAGCGCAAACTAAAGGGCGACACTGTTAAATAAAAAAAAATGAAAAAAGTCAAATAGCAAATGATAAAAGATGATAACAGATAGTAGATGTAGATTTTAGATAGTAGATTATGGATGGGAGATCGCATTCACACATTCGTAGTGAAATCTCCACGACGGTTCATGTGTGAACTAATGAAGCATTCATTAGTCAACATTCAAACACAGGTTCAAACATAGACAAGTAGTAAGCAAAGCAAACCACTCAAGACAGAGAAAAAACAAAGAACCAAGCGCAGGTATATTCGAAAGATAGTCATGAAGTATAGCAATGTCAGGCGAGAAGACTCAACACCGTGTTTCTACCGGTCACCTGTCCGGCTTCATCAGGGGTCATGCTACCGCTACCTCACGCAGGATGGAATAGACTACGAAGACCTACCAAATATATACTATCCTAGAAGTATACACAACTTCAACGAAACCCGAAGGCCCTAGAGCGGACCACAAAAAACAATAGTTACTTACCAGAGTCACACCTACTCCTTACTACAGAACCGGTCAAGGTACCATCTACGAATTACCGTAAATAACTATAAATTCTTCGGAATCATTAGCCCGTTCGAATCCACGGGAAAAACAAGTAATGCCGAAAAAAACAATAACCAATAGGTCGTATGTTCGAACATCACCTAGGCCTATACTACGTCAAGAAAAGCAATACAACTCATTGATAGTGGGATCGAACTCAAAGCTCGAGCGCATTTTCGTTGTTGATCCTCCTACAGCTACTCTTTTTCCACTGCACCTCTTCATCCTCCCTCTTATCATTCCATCTTCTTTCGCCAGTCTTGAGGAGGACCTCGTCAAACTTCGATATGAAAATCTTCCTACTGTGACAAAGCTCAAGCACTTCATCGCTTCTTCGGCAATTTTTGTTTTTAGAATGGAAGCAAGACTTTTTACATCATCAAGAGGAAGTTTGTTGTCAGGATCATGTCTCATGCCTTCTACAGTCCGTCGCTCTTCAGCCTGGTCTTCACTGGGGATAGGAAGTTAGGAGACCTCACTCCGTGAAAACCGCAGTAGACCAAGATCGGTTTTGAAATTTTCAAGATCAAAGTTGAACCCAACATTTCTAGCAACTTTTATTGCCTCTCGCACTCTCGAGCGAAGGAATCCTTTCAATAAGATCAATCATGGATTCCTTTATTTGGGCGATAACTTCCCCAGTCTAGCTTTGTCATCTCTCTTCATCGAACCCATTTCCCCTCTCTTCAAATCTTTCTTCACCACCCTCGCTCTCACTGCCATCGATCTTCTTCATCTTCCTCAACCAATTTCTTGGGGAACGAGCCCTTCGTTTTGATTTCTTAGAAAAAAAGCAATTTGTGTTGCCCCCGACTATTCTCTCGCTGCCCCTAACTCCTCTCAATTATTCTCTGGTTTCTCCCCTCCTATCCTCGATTGATTCTCTTATATCCAAAGCACGAGAAGTTAGTTTTTCGCTTCGACGACAACAAGTCTCCCAAAGATGAAGCAGCAGCTAAGCAAACCGCTTATTTTTCAAGAAGACCAGCGAACAAAGGATTTGAGCCAGGATGAACCAGAATCCACACCTGCAGTTCCACTCCAACCACTTATGTTTCTGGCTCAACCTCAGCAGCGCCAAGTCCATACCTCGGCTACTGAAGTTCCTCCCCAACTACCCAAGATCCCGAAAGCAAAGAGCAAGTCACACATCTAATATAAACTCTTGATTACTTTTCTATTTTCTGCCTCATTTTTCTTCTTCAACTTTTTTTTTTCTATCTCCTTCTCCACCGCCTTGACTTCCATCTCTTCGAATCTTTTCCATACACCTCCCACCGACTATAGTAATTGGTCTTTAATAATGTTTTTCCTTTGAACTTTGCATTAAATGCAAGTCCATAATGTATGTGGTTCATGATTTACGTAATCATGCTATGTAGTTATTGAGCTTTAATACTGACTAAGCGCAATTTCATAATGACTATAAACGATTAATGGATGACTCGTTAACACTTTGTTAAGCATTGCAAATAATGTTTTTAAATAAATCATGATTGCAATATAATTTGTTATGCACACATTTTTTGTATTGACTTTAAAAAAAATGTACAACATTTCAAGTTTGAATTCTTTGTGAGAATGTTGAACCGGAATCACTAGAAATTTCAACAATGTCATTTGTATTGCGCTGTTTGCATAAATGTGTCTATAATTCAAAAAAGGAACAAGCAAACAAATAAAAAAGGTGAAAAAAAAGCACGGTTCATAATGATTTTTGCTTAAACTTGTCGTATGATTCCTCAACTCAACATCAACTCGTTGTTTGGGTTGCTTACACAATATTTCACTATGGCGTTTAAAAACAAAAAATGTAAATACTTTCTACAACAATGTCTGCGACGCTCTATTTTCCTCTTCACACGAAAGCCTTTATTGATTCAAGTTAAAAAAAAAAACTCGATTGTTGTTAATCACATCCTCTTTGCCTATGTTGTTGCTCTACATGTCATATGATAGAACCTCTATCATCAAATCATTCCCGATATTTTTGCCTCCTGACACATAGCACAACTACTCTTCCATGTTGTGTTTTTTTCCCTCCTTGGGCTTTGTCCCCTAAGCACCCGATTGATCTATTGTCGAATAACATTCCCCTTATCTCTACAACAATGATATATCGTTTCGCCATATATTACAATACAGACTTCTAACTCCTTCATCTGACATATGGCGCAACTCCTCCCCCATGTTGATCGCAACCTCCCTTGCTACGCCCAACCTGTGGCACACCCGAAGGATCTTTCCCTGCTTCAATGGTAACCTCTCTTGTTTTGTTACTTTGTGTCACACATGTCATGCCTTATGCATAAAAATAAATAAATAAATAAATTTATTAGGTTGCATTAAACTACAGTTCTATGGCACATAGCTTAACCAAATATTCCTTTTCTTTTCTGTTATATGCTAGACGACAACCTTTTCTTCATTCTACTACTCAACCATTTGCCAGATATCAAAACTTCATGTTACTGGTACTTGTTATTTGGCCTTAAAAAAAAAAAGGGGAGGTGGATAGGTGCAACCCCTATCTTCGGTACGGATGCATAGAACTATTTAAACTATATGGTTTTTGTCTTATGCCATATGGATTCATCAGCGGTTCCTTCCCTGCTCTACTATGTGTCATAGGAATAATCTTTTGTCATTGTACTACTCAACTATCTGCCACCTCACAACATTAGGTGTTGAAAAAAAAAAAAAAAAAGTAAGAGGAGGGGTCGAGCCCGCTGTCTTGGCACGTCTTCACCTCATCTATTTTGTCCAACGAGGTTTCTATCCTACAACTAAACCACCTGTCATCTCTCTGCTCTGATATACGTCTGACTCTTTTTGTCTTTGTGTGCATATTTCTAAATGTCACCCTTTACAACAGGAAAAAAAAAAAAA